AGTGTATATATATATATATATATATATATATATATATATATATATATATATATATATATTCTTTCTGTTGTTTTAGGCGTTTGCTTCGGATATTTTCTTGCTTGCTTTTTACAATTTACAATGCACAATGCAAATTATCACATATTTTATTTTCTTTATCTTCCTCTTTTTCGCATTCCTGTCATCTCTATCTTTATCTTTCTCTACCCATGCACATTGCGCGGCTCAAATTCTACTTTTTACAATATTTAAGTATTCATTTGAAGCCAATTTAAGTGTTATTATTTTTATAATTTTTTCCTCAGCTTAGATGTTTTGCATTTAATTTTTATTTATTTTTATGTTTTTCTTAGTTTTTTTTTGTGTTTGCTTTTGTTTTTTGCACAACTTTTGTCGAGCGTTAAATAACATAAAACAATGTATTCAATAAACAAAAAGAAAAAGATTGAAAAATGGGAAAAACAAATTAACAAGATTTTCATCTTCTGTTTTTATCTGTGCATTGCATAAATCTTATGTTAATTGGCGCAGCAGCGCTCTGTTAAATAAAGAATGAAAACACTCTGTGAAAGCCGACGTTAACAGTTGGCCAGCCGCAGCCGTGGCTGTTAACGCGATCTATTCATTTATGTCTGTCTATGTGTGTGTGTTGTGTGTATGTTGTGTTTGGATGATTTTGTGTATGTGTGAAGGTATGTGTGTTAAACAAATATCACAATCGAGAAATTAACAAAATGGCGGCTGCAGCAGCGCTACCAGCAGCCGCAGTTGCAGCCAACAGCACAAAACTTTAACAGCAGAGCTTTTCCTCCTGCTCTTCTCTCTTTTTTTGTTACTCACTTACATTTGCTCACTCTGCTCTCTATTTGTTTTGAGCTTTTGTTTGTAATACTTTTGGTTTTTGGTCTGCTTTTGTTGTTGGTGGTGTTACTGTTGTTGCTGCTGCTGTTACTGCTGCTGTTGCTGCTCTTGCTGGAAGGGGGGCGGGGGCTGCTAACGCTTAACTCTGTCTCAGCGACAAAGTTTTTTGTTGTGTTATTATTTCGACATTCCAGTGCCCCTGGACAGTGGGCCACATTAATAAAATTACGATTAAAACAAACTAACAAACAGCTTAGGACATCGGTCCATTTGTGCTGATGGCTGCGACGCCGCTGCCTCCGTTGGTCGCTGGCTGTGCTGCTTCGACGACTGTTGTGATAGCTGCGTCGATGCCGCTGCCGCTGTTGCCGCTGCTTCCGTTCTCTGTGCCGCTGCCATTGGCGATGATTGTGGACGGCGCTGTTGACGCCGCTGGGCTGGTGGCTGCTGCCGACGCCGGCGTCACTGCTGTCACTGCAACGGCTGCTGTTGCTGCCGGCGGCGCTGCCTGTATGGCCGGCGTTGCTGGCGGCGCTGCGACCGCTGCCGGCTGCTGACTACCAGCAATTTGTAGCTGCATCTGCAACTGCTGCAAGGTCTCCGGCGACATGTTCGACTTGAGTATGTTATTCTCCAGCTCCAAATTGGAGATCTTGTCCATCAGCTCGGAGATGCGCTCTTTCAATACCTCCACCTCCTCGCGCACCGCTATCATCAGGTGCGACTTAACCAGGTCCTGCAATAAGAAGATTATCAAATTAGTAAATGAAAAAAATTCAAATTCAATTTACGTTAAGTTTACATGGCTATAATTTCCAAAAATGTTAACTGTGCTGATCATTTATATTAAATAACAGTGCCCGCTCGCTCTCGCTCTCTCTCTCTGCTGCTCTTGCTTAACATAACCGCTTGCTGTTATTCCCCCATGCAGCTATCGATAACAGAACCAACTTTGGCGCTCAGTTTCAATTTCTACAGAATGGCGACAAAATCAATGTAAAAACTCATTCATTATACCGCCTTTCATTGCTGTAGCGTGTTGCCACACAATACATATACATACATATATATATATTTCGTTTTTATGACTAAATGTCAATGCCAGCAACATGCCACGCGTGTTGGCAATGCTCATGAAAATTTAATATGCCCATTATATGGTAGAGTGGGCGTGGTTGGAGGCCATCTAAAACCGACAGATTTTCCACGAAACAAATGTCTGTCTCCGCCTGTTGCCAACCCGCTCACACCTTGATTGTGTGCTTGTGGCACGTGCAACACACCCCATGGAGCCAGGTGAGTGCGTTTTCTGTTTAATTTGAAATGCTTTTCCTTTCTGTTGAAAATTACGTATTCATACCCAAAATGCAACAAAATATTGAATGCACATATATATATTGCATATATATAAATATATATACATATTTAATTCATTAATTTTCTTCACTGCATTTTGCTGCCACGCTGGCAAAACTGCGCGCGTTTCCAACGCGTTTTGTTCGCGTTTTCGCTTAGTCATAAAAGCAGAAAGAAACAAGAAGCTCATATGATTTATAGCTGGGTGACCTATGCGAAGGTGGGTGTTTTTCTAAGGGGCATGGTCAATGCGCTGTCGTCTCGCATGTTCCACAGTGATTTTTTTTTTTTTTACTTTTTTGGCTGGGCTTTTTGCCAAGCGCTTGAATCACAAAAAAAAAAAAAAACGCGTCGAGTCTATAAATATTTGCACGTTTTTTCATTTGTTCACAAAATGCTTAATAAATGAATTTAAATAAATGTAAAAATTGATTTATGCATGTAAATAAATAGCACGAATAACAGTGAAATATTTGAAAAATAAATATAGAATTAGAAATTATGAAAATGATAATTTTCATAAAATTTACTTTGTGAATCCCACTGCTTATATAAAAACAGTTCATAAACGTATAAAAACAAAAACTGGTTCACGCTGAATCGAATAAACACCAAGTGTTAAAATAGGGGAAAAAAGAAGAAACATGTACATACATCTATAGTTACATATTTTGAATGCAAATAAAATTCATTCATTATTATACATAAATTGTAGACATATTATTTGTTGTCTGATAAGAATTATTAAATATTTATTTCTTTAATAATTATATATTTTTTAAAGAAATTTAAAGTATTGAAATTATTAAATACTGATTTTTATACATTTTTTCATATATTTATATATTCGAAATTCTATTCTCCAAATGCAGGTAACACAAACCAACCACAAGCAAGGCAAATGCATTTAACGCACTCACACACTTACACAAACAGAAACACACACACACACACACACACACAGACAGGCAGAGACAGACAAATAGAAATTGGTAGTCGGTCGGGTCGAGGTTCGTTTTTGGGGTTCATGCGTGTCGCTTTCTGAGGTAGACACCAAACGCTTCTGCTGCCGCTGCTTCTTCTTTTTCTTCTACAACTTCTGCCTGTTGTTTTTGGTTGTTTTTTTCTTTCGAGTCTTTCGTTTATTTTCCTCTTATTTTTTGCCTGCACTCAACGAAACTCACAAAAAAAAAAAAAAAAATACCACCAAATATGGCGTCGCTTCACTTGTTCCATGTGCTCTTTATTTTTGTTTTTTTTGATGAATCTTTATTTTAAATTCTTTCTCTCTGACAAAATAATTATACTACTACATATATAAAGACGTTTATTCATATATATAAATATGTAAATACATCTACATATATATGTATATTCTTGTACGACATGTTTGCCTTGAATGCGCGCAGCCTCAATTGAAACGAAAAAAAAATCTATGCACAAAAAATCAATAGAAAATGCAAGGTGAAATTTTTAGCCAATGCAACTAACTATAGTATATGTATATTATTTATATATATTTTTTTCTTTCTTCTTTATACATACTTTGGCATTTGGCACCATCACATAGCAGGGGCTGTCGTAGCCCTTCTGCCAAATTTCGTAGAGCCAATTTTCAGGCTGACGTAGAGACATGGTGCCCATCATTTTTGTATATATGTATTTATTATTATTAGTTACACTTGAGTATTTAACAGAACAAAAGTATTTAGTTTTCTTTAAGTTTTTCTTCTGCGAGTATTTAAGTTCTGATTGTTTTGTATTGCACTTTTCACGCACTTATATAATATACAATTTGTTGCAGTGTTGTATCACAGTTACAGTTTGTTTTTCTGCTTTGTGCGTTTTTCTTTTTGCTTTAATATTTAATTTTTGGTATAGTTTTTTCTTTTGCGTTGTTAGCACGGCAAAAGTTCAGCAATAACTGAATACGCAGCACAGCTTTCAGTGATTTGTGAGACCGGCGCAGAGCTTTTGCATTTGCATTCGACACTGAAAGCTCTTTTTTGGTAATAATTTTTCTCCACTGCGGCTGCTGCTCTTACAGTTCTTGTTTGGCTGAATGAATGTAATTCACAATTGAAGAGTCTCTGTTTGGCTGCTTACACAAAATATTTATACTTTAAAAATATATTTAATAATATCTTATTTTTAAATAATTATTTTTTTTTGTATCTGTTTTATTTTTGCGTTTGACGTACGACGTGTTGCGAGTTGAACTGGCGACTGAACGTCTGCTTGCAATTAGCGACGCATTTTATATAAAATGGCAGCGACAGCAGCGAGAGAGCATGAGAGAGCGTAAGAGCACGAGCGCGAGCGCGCTGAGAACGCGTGTGTGTGCATGTGATAATAGCGTGTGTGTGAGAGAGAGTGAGGGAGAGAACAAGAGAGCGCTCAGCGCTGTGTTGTGTATCTGCTGGCAGATACTTTATTTGGGAGTGCGCGCCATGTTGCGACAGCTATACAGTATACACATGTACATACATATACGTTTGTGTGTGTGTGTGTCTGTGCAGCTCATTGACGGGTATGTATCTCTATCTATCAGCATTTCTGCCAAAAGCTGAGTTTCTGCGGCTGCTTCTGTCACTGTTTTTGTTTTTGTTGCTCTCTCTGTTTGTTTTGACGCGCTTTGCCTCAGTAATTTACACACTATATATACATATATATATATTTACTTTTTTTTTTATTTATTAATATCCATATTGATAGGAATATAGCAGCAGACTGCGCCCGAAAAATTTGTTAACATATTTAAGAAACCAGCCGGCATTTATACTCACATTCAGACATACATTAACATCTACACACAGTATCCAAAAGAGCAACAAATTTTGCCACTCGTTTTCGGCATGACAAATTTCTTGGCTGCTTGTTGTTGTTGTTTTTGTTTCTGTTTCTTTTGACACTTTTGCGCTACGACGCAAAAACTTTACGACATTTTTTTTTATCATCCAAAAAGCGAAAAAGGAATGCTCAGTGAGCGAATGGGCGAGCGTTCTTATAGATACTTTTTGAGCAAACATACGATGTTTTTATTTTGCTTTTGCTTTTGCCTTTGAGCAACGCAAGGCAGAAAACGTGGTCGGCATTTTACCTTTTTGCGCATTGCGTTTTGTCCCTTAGAGCAGAGTTTCTCACAGAGCTTTGATTTGATATGAAGTGCCTTTCTTTTTACATACGCAAATGTGTATGCATGTATGTACATATGTATGTATGTATATAATATATGCAAATGTAAGCGTGGCCATTCGTTTCCGGATGGACAAAAGAAAACAACCGCAAATCAAGCCGTCAGTTTTGTTTTTCAAGGGCTTGCAAATTTGCAAAACAAATTGTCAACAACAACGGCGGCAGCAGCGGCAGAATGAAACATTAACAATAGCAACAACTGTGTTCAAAAACTCAATTCACAGCACACAGCGCGAGAACATGAAACGTATCGATTTCATGCGCATGTCGCAGATGCAGCCGCGCCCCCGCCCCACTCACTCCCCCTCTCTCTCTCTCTACCTTTCTGCCCATCTATCTACCACATATACAAAACAAAGCTCCACAACAAACACCGATACAGTTACAAATACAAACACGTACACAGATACATATATGTGTGTATGTGTATGTGCATCTGTATGTGTAGAAGAAGCTTAAATCTGATTTTCCCATAGCTTCAAATGCCGGCAACAAATTGCAAATTGTAAAAAAACATCCGCGTTGCAGGCGGCAAAAAATGAAGGAAAACATTTAAAAATGAGAACAATAACAAAACATGAAATAAATAAAAACAATTAAAGCCACATTTGTATAAACAAATTGCAATATTTACACAAAACTGAAGCGTGTATCTGAACACTTTGCTGTCGAGGCGAAAACAACTGGGAAGGTCTCATAAAAGGGTGTGAAAGCTAAAAGTTAGTATTGAGGAACTAGCATTATCATTACCATTAGCATTAGCGGTAGTACGCAAATTATTATATACTATTATCGTGCCATTCTCATTTACAGTTAGCATTTACATAATTAGTATAAATACTTTTATTTGCATATTATTATTATGCTTGCTCAACAAGAAATTAACAGCATCATATTATTAATGACCAATTGTTATCATTATCATTATTATTATCAGAAATAGAACTCTTCTCTACTGCCACATCGGCAGAAACTTTCGTTGAAGTCAATGTAGAGTCCATGAGAATTATGGAGGACGATGATCGGAAGAATCAGAAGACTGAAACTCGATATTAATACAAACAGAAGTTTTTGAATGCAAGAACATGATTAATATGATTAGTTTCATGTATATACTCTGCCATTTTCTAATATTTGTTCAATGAAATCCCACCAAAAGCTGCCCAACAAAATATGAATGAATAA